GAGAAAAAGCACAATTCGTCGGGGAGAAAAAAATATTATATGTATTTTTTACATATTAGTAGACTCTAAAATCGATTAAATAAGCCTTTGCAACCCCCAAATTGTCGAAATTTTCGGGGGCCTCGCCCCCAGGACCACTTTCGAAAACTATTAATCGAAGCTCAACCACGCCCACTTTGCTTTGCGCCACCCCTGACTATGACATGGCCCAGGCCGCCCAATATACATGCGTACAACCCGTAGCTGAGCTATGGCCCTGGTTCGAGACGAACACGTGTCAATTATTTTAGGGTATTTTTTTCAACATACAGAGCAGGCCGGTATGGTAAAACATCATTTTCAAAACATTATTTCTACTGTTACAGCAATGTTTATTAACTAGTAGAAATATCATTTCTACTGTTAAAGCAATTAGTCCGGCAGCTTAGCAAATGGATGTGGACGTTCCGGACAAAAACAATTTTTTTACATGCTCTTTATGGTCATAGCATTCAATTTTTGGTAGGAACCACCTCATCCGAGATCATTATGGCGGCCATCTTTGATTTCAAAATGGCCGCCTAATAAAATGTTTATATCTCCGCTTCTAAACCACTTGGAATTACAATTCTAATGTCTGAAACTATTTTTATATGGTCAAGGAATCCATCATACCATTTTTGACCTGGTCAGATTGCCACAAATACGTCATTTAAGGTCATTTAAGGTCAAATACTGTATGGTATCTAAAAAATTACATAATTGTCATATTTTACATTAGAACCATACCCTGACACTCAGAATTCAAAATCTTTACTATGAACTACAATATTTCATTCGAGGTCATTCTGGCGGCCATCTTGAATTTCAAAATTGCTGCCACGCAAATCCTATATTTATCAATATATCGGTCTTTAAACCACATTTAATGAGAATTATATCTAAAATTATATTTCATGGTCAAGGATTTATAACACTTGTGACATGGTCAGATGGCCATTAAGATCATAAAAGGTCATTAAAGGTCATTCAATGTATATACCATACCATTACCATGTTTTACCTGGTCAGATTGCCACAAATACAGTAGGTCATTCACGGTCAAATATTGTATGGTATCTTAAAAAATTACGTAACTCATGTATTACATTAGAACATTAGAATCATATCCATACTCTCAGAATTCAAATGTTTTACTATGAAATATATATATATATATATATATATATATAATATATATATATGCATATGTATATATATATATATATAGTAATTATGTATGTACAATTTTCAGTGAGATTAATATGCTTTAAATTAATTTTTATATACTTTTATTGTCATTGAACTCACTGTATACAATAATTTCTTTATATATATATATTATTAGATATACATGTATATATAAACCTCTATATAAACAAATAACAATAAGCATTGCTTCTATCACTTACCTATTGACAATGTTTATATATATATATATATATATATATATATATAATTGACATTATAATATATATATTTTATGACGGATTAACAATATTTAAATAAATTTTCAATTAGCTGACTGAGGGCTGAACGTCTACAGGACATTATATTTAGGTGCATATATAATAAAATAACAAATAATAAAAAACAATAATAATTTATATACTTATTTAATTTAATAGACCAATAGGATAAACCCATTTTGTAAATAATAATGTACAATTTAAATGCAACAGAAGAGGAAAATCTGATCAGAATGAAAAAGAAACCCTGCCTTCACCACTACTCGAACTCAGCACCTTTTTCTTAACGTGCGAAG